TCTATGATTCTATGAAACTCAGTGCTGTCTACTCAGACTGGCAGCTGATTTCCAGGGTCTCAGGCAGAGGTCTTTCACATCACCTGCTGCCTGGTCCTTTTAACCGGAGATGCCGGGGATTGAACCTGGGACCTTCCGCATGCCAAGCAGAGGCTCTGCCACTGAGCCACAGCCCCTCTTTACAGCTCTCCAGGGTCTCAGGCGGAGGTCTTTCCCATCACCTGCTGCCTGGTCCTTTTAACTGGAGATGCCGGGGACTGAACCTGGGACCTTCTAAATGCCAAGTAGATGCTCTGCCACTGAGCCACAGCCCCTCTTTACAGCTCTCCAGGGTCTCAGGCGGAGGTCTTTCACATCAGCTACTGCTTGGTCCTTTTCTAACTGGAGATGCTGGGGATTGAACCTGGGACCTCCTGCATGCCAAGAAGAGGCTCTTCCACTGAGCCGCAGCCCCTCTTTACAGCTCTCCAGGGTCTCAGGCGGAGGTCTTCCACATTACCTACTGCCTGGTCCTTTTTAACTGGAGATGCCGGGGACTGAACCTGGGACCTTCTGCATGCCAAGCAGAGGCTCTGCCACTGAGCCACAGCCCCTCTTTACAGCTCTCCAGGGTCTCAGGCGGAGGTCTTTCCCATCACCTGCTGCCTGGTCCTTTTAACTGGAGATGCCGGGGACTGAACCTGGGACCTTCTGCATGCCAATCAGAGGCTCTTCCACTGAGCCACAGCCCCTCTTTACAGCTCTCCAGGGTCTCAGGCGGAGGTCTTTCACATCACCTGCTGCCTGGTCCTTTTAACCGGAGATGCCGTGGATTGAACCTGGGACCTTCTGCATGCCAAGCAGAGGCTCTGCCACTGAGTCACAACTCCTCCTCATGTTGCTCTTCATTGCCTGTAGCCAACCCCCTTTGACAACTTCTCAACATTTCTCTCTCCCTCTCCCGAATTCTCGACTTTCCAGGTCAGGATCTCTTGGTCTCCAAGTGGTGTTCTCCGACGTGCCCGAAGGCCGGCGAAATCAAGGGGGGCAAGAGAAAGATGGACTGCTGCCAGACTGACTACTGCAACGGCGGTGGTGCCATCAGCGCCAGAGGCAGCTATGCCCTCCTGGGCGCGGCCCTGCTTGCCAGTTGCTTCTACGCCCTCCGGACCGGGCTGTGATGATGGAGGCGAGGCCAGAAGATGGGGTGAGGACGCCTCCTGGAAGTTCATCGGAGAGGCTGACCCCCCTCCCCAAGGGCCTTCTCTGCTGTTCGTTATTATGCAGAATGCCACCCCCCCTGCATTTACTGGGCACGGCGTAAGATGCCGCTTTTGAAAACCTCCCTGTGTAAAAACTCCCCGCATGAAGTAAACTAGCACTTCAGGGAGGAGAGGGTTCATGTAGCCAGTCTATGGAGTGTGTGTGGGGAGGGTGGAAATATTCAGAACTACTGAAACAGCAGTACCGAAACCAAAGTTGCAATATAGACTAGAATTCTGCCACTGTATCCCACATAATATGCAGATCGTCTCTTGAATTTTCACCAGACTGTGTCCTCTCTCTCTCTCTCTCTGCCTGCCTGCCAGCCAATCCTTTTCTTAGAGCCAGTTTGGTGTAGCGTTTAAGTGCGTGAACTCTAACCTGGGAGAACCGGGTTTGATTCCCCACTCTTCCACATG